CCTAAACCCTAAACGCCTGAACCCCCTCTCGCCATGATTGCTAGGCCCCTTGGGATCCTTCAGTCTCCAAAATGTCGTCCTCGCCTTCGCCGACTGATGTAGTGATCCTGGCCCTATTTTGGGACTTTGGCTCCAGTTTGGGTGCCAAAAACCATAAATAAGGACTACTTGGATCCATAGTTAGAGTATTTTAGTAGAAAGAGTAAAGATGTGTGGTTTTCGTATGATAAGGGTCATCGTAGCTGCAGTGAGTGTCGATAGCTTTGGCACACACGGAGGTTTGCGGGCCGTGACACAAAGTACTCAGGCCGTGGGATATAAAAAGAGCATGCGTTTTGAGGTCGAGGGTTTGTGATTTGTGGTGAAAGTGCCGAACCCCGGACCTGGAAACCTAACCCTAAACCGGTTTAGGGTTTAGGGTTTAGGGGTTTAGAAACCGCAAATCTGCCTTCAGCAGGAGTGGCGAGCGAGAGATCTACTTCGGTACTCTCTTGCAGCCTCTCTGGTGCACTGAGCAAAGAAATTAGCACGGGACCGCGTTTGGAAGAGATATTGTTAGCCTGACTGCGGGTTTTGGCATACTGACAACTTAGGAACACCACAAACCTTAAGCCCTAAGCCGTGGAATTAGTCGTCCTTTGGGCCTCTAAGTTTAGGGTTCAAGGCCTGAGGGTTTAAGCTTTCGAAGCCTGGCTACAGGGTTTGAGGTTGTAGGGCTGAGGATTTGGGGGCGTGTGGCTTTTCAGATTAGGGCTTGAGAGCCTTGGTGCTTTTTTTGTGCTTTTGAGTTTTTGGGTGCTTTTGAGTTTTTTGGTGCTTTTGGGTTTTTTGGTGTTGTTTTTTGTGCTTTTGCGGTTTTTGGTGCTTTTGGGGTTTTTGGTGCTTTTGTTTTTTTTTGTGCTTTTGGGTTCTTTGGTGCTGTTGGGTTTTTGGTGCTTTTGGGTTTTTTGGTGCTTTTGGGGTTTTTGGTGCTTTTGTTTTTTTTTTGTGCTTTTGGGTTTTTTGGTGCTGTTGGGTTTTTGGTGCTTTTGGGTTTTTTGGTGCTTTTGGGTTTTTTGGTGCTTTTGGGTTTTGTGGCAACCTTGTGCTCCTGCGCAAGCATTGCGGCCCTGAGGGCACCTCACGCTTGCAGAGGGTGTGAGCCGCAGCCCGGATTCATGCGGAAGCATGAACCTAGACCCTCCATCAGCCCTCAATTAGACCCTAAATACCCTTGATTTGGGACCATATACCCCCATTTGAGGGTACAAGGAGGGTCCTGGAAGGATTACCAATAATATTTCCCTCCTCTTCTTTAAACCCGATATATACCCTAAACCCAAAGTTAGGGCTCGGGGCTTAGATCTGGCTTTACGGACAGTTCGGCTCCTCAGAGTAGAGCCATATGTCCAGACTTTGGGTCCTCTTTATCCCCAAACATGCAGGGAGGACTCTTGCAAAGTAGGGTTTAGGGTTTAGTAGGGTTTAGGATTCAGGGTTCAGGGTTTAGGATTTAATTTGGTTTCCCCTAGACTAGACCCCAAACCCGAGACCCTGACTTGAATGACGGCCAGTGTGTGCCCGACCGGGTGAGCCGGACGCTCTGCGGAGCGAAAGGCCCCCCACACTTTAAGCCAAAAACACCCCAAAACCCTAAATCCTAAACCCCAAACCCTAAACCCTAAACCCCAAAACCCTAAGTCGGGTTTAGATAAGTTTAGGGCTTTAATTTTCGGGCTACGAAGAATCCAGGGTCATACCGCGATCGCTCTTTGAGCTACGGCCCCAAACGGTTTAGGGTTTGGGGTTCAGGGTTTAGGGTTTAGGGTTTAGGGGGTGCTTGAAGCCTGTAGCATAGACCTCAAGACAGCCCAGGAACCGGCATCACATCGCGAGGCGGGTTCGCGTATGTGGGTAGCTCTCTAAATGAGGGTCCCTTTTGGGGTCCTTTTTTGTAAGGGTGCCGTACTATATTGGGGACCTAAAAAGGGACAATAATTTAGACAACTATCCATGTGCTTTTTGTTTCGTGTCTGTTCGGCGCAGTTGCATCTCATTGATCTTCAACTTCGAGATGCCCCAATACCCGAACCACCAGCCGCAGCTTCTTTCAGCCGAGTCTCTTCAGGTGTAGGTACGAGGAAGGTGCCAGGGCAGGATCATCGCAGGTTCCATCTTCAAAGCTTGTGCTTGGTGCAACCTGCCATGGACGTCCAGGTGTTGCGGCTGAATGGAGAGGAAGTTGCGACCGTGGCGCTGGATGCAGCTGCGGATGTCAGGGCTCTGAAGCACGCGATTGAAGAGATCGACGGCACACCCGAAATGTTGCAGCAGCTTGTTTGGAAGGACCAGCCGCTGGACGACTCCCTGCAGGCCCCAGCGTTGGCAGCGCAGCTTGATGGCAGTGCATCCGTGATACTGGTGAAGAAGGACCCGGGATTTCGAAACATTTCCTTTGCTACATTCGAGAATTCGGTTCCTTTGATAGTGCCCATTTTACACGGAGATGCCATATAATATAGGGCCTAATATAGGGAGTAGCAGGTGTTATAAGGCCGGATGGAGGAGTATATGCGTTTACAATTGCGATGGAGTGTTCACGCCACCTAGATTCCTTTGTGCAGTTGCTCCCTAAACCCTCAAACCCTAAACCCTAGATTCTTTTGTGCGGTTGCTGGCACAGAGCCCTCCGTGCTTGGAAACTTGAAGTTGCACCGTCGTTTCTCACAGACTACTGACCCAGAGAACCCAATACCCCTTAATTGAGGAATATACCTTAAATCATAACATTAAGGGCCCGATAATTTAAGGTATATTCCTGAATTAA